CTGCTACTGCTGCTGCTGCTGATGCTGCAGGTACTGCGAGGCTACTGCTGATGCTAATGACAGCTCCTCTTCCTCCTCCTCATCCTCCTCTTCCTCTTCCTTCTGCTGCTGCTCAATATGTATGAACAACACACCCGATTTGAATGGGTGTGTGCTCTGAGCTCTGCAGCCAACATCTGCAGGAGGATCAATGCTGAAGTGCTGAGTGTGCTGCTGTCGAAGGCAGCTCACTCCTGCATTATAGTGTCCGAAGCACCGCATACGGCGCTTTTGCGCCGCCGTACAGAAACACGGTTGCACAGCTGCTTGAGCTGCCGGCCGTCAACGTTGGCCAGGTTTGCCACGAGGAGGAGTCGCCCACCCAAAGCCAAGGCCTCCGCCAAAGTGCGGCCGGCCCTTTTGCTCCGCACTTACTCTCATTCAATGGGCCGCTCCGGTAACGACAGGAGTGGAAGGGCTGATGCGCACAGCGACGCATCCGACAAGGAGCCTCCAAGCACGTAATGACCAAAGCCACACCGTATACAACTACTGTCTTTGGATCGTGGGCTTAAGAGCATCTTCGAGACCTCACGCGTCGGGTCCGATTTGGACTAGGATGCTTGTCCGACGACAGCTGTTTCAAAAGCCTGCATATAGTATGGTTGCTCTGGAACTTTGGAGAACTCGAGGCTCAAGGCTTAAGCGGCTCAAACTCAGGATTTGGGTGCACTCAGCACCCGTGTCCAATTTCCATGCGGGTCAAGATGATTCGAGATGACGGGAAACGATGCAGGGGTACATGGTGAGCGATTCTGCACCTTGTGCTGCACCGGACCGGAGACAGACAGAAGCCTGGTGGAAACAGATGTGGAAGTGCTGTGTGGACTGTAAGTGAGTTGAGTCTTGTGCCGCAGCTCTGGGAGCGGTTCCGAAGCTTTGGGAGGCAGGCTGCCTGCAACAGCTGGAGGACTATACAAATCTGTCAGCGGCAACGTCAACAACTCTGGGTGGACCTGGGGCATAACGGAAGAAGCGAGGGAGAGTAACAGTGGCAATGGCATTACCTGCAGCAGTAGCCGCAGTAATCGCAGTGATAGCAGCATTGCATGTGCACGTTGACTCGGGCGATGTTTCCCACTCCTCCCGCATTTCGAGGGGGTGTCGAGGGTGGAACTCGGGGTTTAGGGTAGTGAGCCCGTGCAAATATGCCCCGGTACCGGTACACAACTTACAGCACCAGCCGCAACTTCGCAGTTTCGATGGGTGGGCTGCAAGATATCGTGCCTTGGGGGCGCCGCGTAGAATCTGTGCAGTCACCTAGGAGAGCACAACGAAGGGTAGAGTGTTGCCACCGCCCGAACAGGGCCGCGACATTTGCCTGGCCTGGGTTGCGTTCTTCCTTTGTTCAAGCTTTCACAGCTTCTGAGGTGTGAGCATCTTCTCCTCGATCACCTCCAGAAACGAACATTTGTCCACCACCTGCGAACAGTAACGTCAACTTGCAGCATACTGCAGCTGAATTTCCTCTCTTGCACGAGAAACGTCGGTGGCTTCGACGGAAGTGCAAAACAGGCATCCAAGACTGCTGTCATCATGACGCTCTTGCAGACTCCACTACGAGTGTCTCAGGACAGGTCCGGTGGAAGGCACGTACGGTGGGTTCGCCAAGATCAAATCCTTGTTGCTGTGGCAGATGTGGGCAGCCGGGTCTGCTCACGACATCTGCTCTCGGCACCAAGCAAATCTTCCGTGGCTGCAGTCTAGCATCGGGGAATACCTTGCAGGGCTATCCGACTCGCGCACTGGAACAGAGCAGGCATGGATTTTTCGCTGCAATTTGGAGAGAGTCGTCTGCTGCCTGCGAAAGAGATGAGCTAACCGGCCTGGCAATTTCGTCACGGCACCGATTTGGCAATGCCTGGCGGCAGCTTTTTGCTTAGCCAACAACTATACATCACGAACGAGAATGAACGAGAGTGATGCCGTATCGATGCGGACGGTGCAAGGACTTCTTGGACGAACTTTTCACGTTGAAATAAAAAAACCCACGCGGGATAACAGACAATATCCTGCAATCCTGCAATGTAGCAAGTGGACCCTCATTACCCCAGACGGTGGCGAGACATTAAGTGCGTTCAATGGAGTCCCACGCCAAAAAGTAACGGGCACCTCGAAGAGGTTGCCGTGATGAAGAGTCACTTTGGACACTTGGTTCAGCAGAACGTTCGCCTTCCTCGGGAGAGTCCAGCCAACACCCGACACGCTGCAGACTCATCAGGAAAAGCCTCTTGGCCTAGACATCTCTCGTGACAACGCATGATGTCAGTCAAGCTGCAGATTTGCGCTCAACAAACCTCACCCTGTCAAGCACACATCTAAATTCGCTGTGGCATTGCTGCGGCCATGTCGCGCAAAGCGCAGTGCACGCGGGTTCAGATCCTGATCACAAAAGCAAGCTCGGCTCCTATTCCATTCCCTGAGCAGCTGCCGGGTAGCCCTATCAAAGTTGCGAACCCAAGCGAGAAAACTTGTACACCCCGAATCGGGAATGATTACAACACGATGCGATTGAATCGGGGCCCTGGCCACGAGTGTGGCAGCAGCAGCGAAGCGCTTCGCGGCATAGAGCCCCTGGACCTCAATCCAAACTCTACTGCAGGAGTCGTGCACAAAGCCTCGACTTTTGGATGCCATCTAGCTTCGGGCAGAATTTTAAACGAAGTGACCGGAGAGCTAGGTACGCATGGCCGGCAAGCTTTTTTTTGGCCGCAACTGGGACAAAAGGCCAGGGATCCGGCGCCACTTCCCGCACACAAATCCTGAGAGCATCGCTCCGAGACGCTGAACTGAAGCTGAAGTTTGTTCCAGCGCTTGAGGAACGATGAACGACCTGCAACCAAGGTTCCAGCACACGTTTTGGAGCAGCCTGCAGCGGTAGCAATGCCTCAGGAGCTGGTTCAGACATGTTAAGACTACGTCTCTACGAGAGAGAAGCGGCAACATTGCGAGTTTTCACATGGACGTCTGTACAGTGGCATCACTGCACCGTTTGAGAAATCGCCGGATTGAGGAGTTATCAAACAGAGCCTGTCGGCTATGCGCCAAACATGGGCAAAACTAAATCGAAGACTTGATAAATCGATGCTGCTGTCAGATTGATGGGCCGAAACGTTTTCATAGTGTTGTCGTTCACCCCAGGCCTGCGCCACCAACTTGCAGCTGTTTGTACCGCAGGCTTTTTGTCTGACTCGTTCAAGATTGATAAACTAAAGGAACAAAGCCATCAATCTGTTGAGGGCCGCGTGATCGAAGATTACACATGTTCTTTCCAGACATGTCACCAGACTTATGTCCATGGAGACCTCCTTCAATGATGCAACACTTCCAGGCCTGGATGATGCCCAGCGAGAAAGCCGGATGAGCAACATTTCACAAGCAGTGCCGTTTTTCGAGTTTTGGACACGACTCGCAAGTGTCGAAACCGATCCTTGAAAGACCTTCAAGCGCCTATCTACTGGAACAGTCGTACTCTGTCTCGGAGCTGCCTGGGCTCGCAGCAGCGCATAGCTGTCAATGGTGACTGTCATCACCTGATCTGTTTCATCACAATCGCTACGTGCAGGTACTCATGCTCCGTTTCAACCGTGTGCCTCGGTTGCTGCCCCACGTCTCAGATCATTGCCGAGCCTGGTGCCACGGTCGCAGCTCGTCCCAGTCCACGAAGAAGAACATGGAGACTGGTCGGGAATTGGTGCACACGGAGAGACTCCGAATGCACGGTATGCAGCGAGCGTGCCGCGTGCGACAGGTTCTCGCAGATCCACTGGGGCAAGCTGAACAGTCGACTGCCACCCACTTTGCAGCGCAGGCCTGCCGAAGAAGGTAGTGTACTGCGATTCGCCAACTGCCAAAACTCGGAGAAGGAATGGCATCATGCTGAAAAGCGTCTTTGCTCCTACCTCCAGAGTATTCCCAATTTCTGCAAGTCCTGTCAAACTCGAAATTGGATTCGTTCACACGCAAGGGCTTGCAAGACTGCATGCTGCCAGGGCGCAGCGATCAGCACGGAGCCGAGCACCTCCTCGAGCACGGGAGCAGCAACGGTCGCGTTCAGCCTTCAGAACATGTCTGACACGGGCACCGGGCCGCAGATGCAGCCAAGCAGTTGAGTCTTCGAAGAGACGCTAGACTTTAGACTCAGACTCTAAACTCTAGGCCCTTTGGTCATTGATTTGCGGCACATACATGCACACATACACACACACACACGTACAGACTCGCACACATATACACATACATACATACATACATACATGCATGCATACATACATACATACATACATGCATGCATGCATGCATGCATGCCTACATACATAATGCATACATGCTGTCCATACATACATACGTACATACCTGCATATGTACATACATAGATACATACATGTGAATGTGTGTACATACATATATATATATAACACACATATATATAGAGATGAAACTTGGGGAAGCTGGCCACAAACGACGATTCCTGAAGAAGTCACCCAAATATGCTTTGTGGCACCAGGGCAGACGAGAAACAGGAATGTGCCCAGCAGAGCCGCAGAGCGCACATCAACTCCACGCCGTGGAGCCTCGCAGAAGGGGCCCGCTTCCTGGAGTTCTTCGGCAGTCTTCTGGCCTTTGCGTGCGCTTGCCTGAGGATGTTGACAAGATAATATACTATCCGGCCTCAAGCACTTCACCTTTGACTCGAGGCCAGGCCCCCTGGGTAAAGAAAGCAATGCGCAACAGGTGCAGTTTGGCATGCCAGACAACTTTTCGGGAACTGAGCAAGCCTGGCCTGTGATGCAGGGCTACCGACGAGGGCCTTGGCAGCCGCCTGACAGCACACCATCGGAACAATGTTAGGGACTTCCATGGACATCCGGCATCAAAAACTTCCCTCAACACAAGACTAAGGCATTGAAGGCTCTTGGCTCGGACAGGCCGCAGCCTCCGAGTAGTTGTGACCTGCAGTGGTTTGTGAGCAATTCGAGGGGCATGACACCATGACCACTTGGCCCCGGTGGCCGTTGCAGATTCTGGCAACTAAAACTGCGCATGCTTGCATGATCAGCTGTTTCGATTGTTTGGTTCCAGTCGTCAAATCCGAGAGCTGCTTCCAAGCGACGAAGCAAAACCCGGCGAAAGCTTGCCAGGCAACGGCGAACAAACCTGCACGCTGTCCGTGCGTCCACAATGGTGATGGTGATCAAACTGCTGGCTACATAGCATCCGCGGGGCCATCAGACGGGTGCCTTTCAGTTGCATCTCCGGGACCTAGACAGATCTAGACAGCATTACGTCCAGGTCCTGCAACGCCCGGTTATAAATCAACCTCTATGTCCCGACTAGTTTCGGAACAAGCCTAGAGCCTGAAGCCGCGAGCCAGGGCATTGAAAGTCTCTAGGTTTAAGTTTGAAGGGGTTCGTGGTCCGCCCCGAGTGGCCAGGATTCACCAACACTGCACGGGGCCGTCCCAGGTAGACATACTTTCGGTTACGATGTTTGCTAACCTCTTACACGTTGCAAGCTTACCGCGGCAAGAGGCAGGCCCAGAGCACTTCATCTTCAATGAGATCTACGTAAATTGGCATCAGGGCCTTCCCTTCTGATGTTTCACATTCAGCTGCGAAGACGAACGAAACCGTGCTTGCGCAGCCCGAGCCCGCAGTGGCATTGTACGCTGTGAACCAGGCAGGCCGGGAGCCCAAGCAGAGCCTTGTCGGAAGTCCGCCAGGAGCGCAGCGAATGATGGATAACTTTGGAGAACAATCTCACTGGGTCTCACTGTTCCTTCTTCTCGCTGCCAGAGGTGGATGCTGAGCTGCTGCGAATTCTGTCGCACCAGCAACAGCAGCAGTAGCAGCAGCACGAAATCGTGAGCCGTCCACAGCACAGTAAGACGCAAATGACCAGCAGCAAAATTGACATACTCAGTGCCTTCTCCACCCCATGGTCCCGCACAAAATGTGCATCCAGTGTGTTCATCTTCGACTGCACAGGCAATGGATCTGGGAAGCGCATGTCCGCGGCTTCTTCAATAAGATCCAGTGTGCGGCTGAGACCCCCCAAGCTCCGCAAGTCCTTGGCAAAATGAACTTTGCACTTGAGCTTCTGTCCCCTTCCCGAAGAGTTTTCACGTGCTTAGGATAAGACTTTGGACTGCTAGAATGCCGCATCGTCAGAACGAGCATCCGCTGAAGCCGCCTTCGTCGCATCTGCGAACGCTGCATTCTGGATAACTGCTTCGGCTGCCTTCCGGAGTGCAGGACAGCCGTGGCTTCTACAATGCTCAGGTGCTTCTGCTGGAACGAAGCCCTGCCTCTACCAGATTGGAAAAGTCGGGGCGCACGAGCCTCAAGTCTCCAGCTTTTGCTAACCAAAAACACATCAACCCACCAAAGTCTATCAACAATCAAAACAAGCCAACAAACGGGGCTTACTAGGCGTACCAACCTCTCTCTGCCGTCACTGAAGTTTACAGGGCAAGCATCACCGCAGCTCCAATCTCCACAAGTCTCTGCGCGTTTCCACGTTGATCCGAGAAGGAGGGGTACGCAAGAACAGGAACGCCTGGGACGATTTCAGGGGGTACGGTGAAGGGCTCTCCTATGCGGGTCGCGAGTTTTGACATCGGCTCCTGCAGCCAGTGTGTCCGTGACCCCGCCCCAGCCACAATGTGACAAGAAGGCCTTAACTGCAGGGTGTGCGAGGACCTCGGGTTGCGGTGTGAAGTTTGCAATGTGCAGTTGGTCCCCAGTACGTGGCAACAAGTGCTGCAAGGCCCCTTGCTGCGAGCTGCGCAGGGACCAGAGGATCCGGAAGCCGCTTGACATGAGTCTGCGAAGCTCAGTGATCAGATTCGAACCGCTGGAATTACTGAATTCATACTTGGTTCCCATGGATACATAGACCACCGGTGCTGCAGCATGGTCCAGCCAGCGCTCCAGTTCTACCGGCAATTTATCAGGTGTTGTTCTTTCCACGGTGCCCACAACATGGAGCCCAGTGGGCAACTTGATTGGCAGAGCGATTGGCGGGCCGCCCAGCATTATGTTCGTCTTAGCTCCGAAATATAATTCCGTTTGATCGGCCAACGGCGGAAATCCTCTGTCCTGTAGCACTGAGTTCACAACAGTCAGGCCAAACTGTATGTAAGTCTGCAGCATCATGCACTCTACTCGGTTCTGGACCCGCTTGAGGAGAGACCCACGGAGTTCGGCCATGGACCGAGGGTTCGCCATGTTTGGATACTTGCAGATTTGCTCGGCATCACTGAGCACGATCTCAGGATATGGAGGAATGCTGAGGAACGAAACCCACGGAATGCTGGATCTCTTCAGCGCAGCATTGCAGCCGAAGGAATTGGTGGTAAATGCCACGTCGAAATGATGCCGCTTTGTAAGGGCTATGAAATCATCGACCACCGAGAAAAAGGGCCCATCTATCAGGGACTTGTAATTCCAGATGATTTTGCCCCATGCTAGGATGCATTCATGCCACCGCAGGTTCTTCATGTCCGGAACCTTGAAACTGCTGAGTGACGCGGTCTCGTCACCGATGTAGACGAGGTTCGTTGTGCCAATGCCATTGGGGAACCACTGGAATGCTTCGGTTGTGTTGGGAAGCGCCATCGTGACATTGTGGCCACGCTCCAACAAGCCCTCCACCACTGGCACGACGGCCAGATGGTGACCTTAGCCACAATGCATCTACGGGAGGTCTTCCCCACGCTTCTTCATGCATACGTATTGTGCCGTCCTTCCTCACTCAGTAAGCGGCTTTTCATCACGCCACCCGTCACCAGGATCTGTTTTGCATCAGCCTGGGCCTGCCAAGCCACCTGAGATGCCAGGAACTGACGCCGGCGCAGCACCCAGTAAACATTTCGGAATGTGGACCTAGAAGCTCAACGAGAATGCGTAAAGCAATGCCTTCTTCAAACTGGTCGCCATCCCGAACACCAAACGCACATTCAACATTGAAAATCCCCGAAAGCCAGGAGTGTCGAAGCAAGGAACGGCCATCAACCACCATATCGTGAGACTGGCCATGGCTGCTGAAGGATTCGAGCCAAAGCTTCGACGGCAGCTTTGGACATTGTGCCCGTGCCAAAGGATCGAAGTACAGCCTGACCTGGTCCTGTCTTCACGTTCAACGAGTTTCATAAAGGAGCCTGGGGGGGGAGGGTGGGTTCTTCCTGTAAGATGGCTGAGAAATTGCGGAGTCACGGTCGCCCTGCCCTGGACAAGAGTTCAGTCGGCAACTGCAAGTTTCGAGCTTCAAGAGACCAAAGCCCGGTAAAGGATGTAAGACCAGAGAAGGACTTCGCTTGAAGGTGAAGACTTGGATGCGCAAGAAACCTCAGGAGTTCGCCGAATCTGAGGATGGAATAGTCGCAGATTCAGACAAGACGTAGCGGTTGGCGTGATACCTCCTGCACAGGTCTAAGGAGGTCGGGAGGGAGGTAAGTAGTAGAGGTGTGCTTGCTTTTGTTTTGTTTGTTTCGTTCTGTTTGCCGTTTCTCTCTGTTCCACAAAGAGAGCAAAGCCAGCAGGGGAACAGCCACAGCGCGCATTGCGAGCCCCCTACAGCCAGCATGTCAAGCTCAGACCCTTGACTGCGCACCTTGGTGCCGCACTTCGCCGCCAAGAGTGCAGGCCATCGTCAAGGCCGTCGAGGACCTTCCGAAACTCTCGAGAATTGATGCTAACATCCTGGCAAAATTGACATCCTGGCCTGGCCTTGCCAACCAGCGCAGTGGCATCAACGGGATAGTTCATCTTGACCGGCCAGGCATGCTAGCTCGCGGCACATTGGATTCCATTTGCATGTCTGGGCTTGTTTATGTTTCGATTGCAAACCCGACTACGCGTGCAATTCCGGGTTTCCAGGAAGCCATGGAGTTCGTCGCAGAGTGGAAACTGAAGCCGTAGTTAGTTAGTTCGCTGACGTGCGAAAGTGATCTACCGATCCACCCATAGCATCGGCTTACAGATTTGTTGACTCTTCTCGCCTGATCGCAGAAACTCACACCCTTGCATAATTCCGCAGCTTGCGGCTTCAGGATCTTGAAGGATTCTTTTCAGCACCAGCACACGGACGAAGTCGATGAGACAAACCCGAAGCAAAACGCTTGGAGTCCGGAACACTTTCGGTCTTAGGCATGGCATTATAAAGCCGTGGTGGCGTCCCCTAAAGTTTGAATCTGCTGCTGTGTGCGTGTGTGCGTGTGTCGGTTCAGCACGTGAACCCTGCCAACGTGATGAGCATCTGCACACGGGAGCCAGAGTAGCTTCAAACAACGACAACCTGCGGCAGTGTTTGCACGAGCTCCATCCCTGCCTGCACCACGCAGAAAAGCAAGTACCACGTGGAAACTTGCAGAATCCGAATGGTAATGGACGAGCCTCTCAAGCCCTGCTTGGCCACCCGCTGCTTGTCAGGGTCACTCCAGAAGGAAAGTTCAGCTTTCCTGTCCACTGCTTTCTGCGGATGTGCGAGGATGTGTCAGGTTTAGGCGAAACGGCTAGAGACAACTCGATGCACGTGGATCAAAGCAACACCAACAGAGCAGCGAGCCAATGTAGCCTGCATCTGTGCCCGGGCCACCATCGACCTCAAGTTCAGGGACTGGCCGGCGACTTTGCCTACATCTACAACATGTTTGACTTAAGACATGTACGAAATGCATGCACCCTGGGCTTCCGGGACACCTGCCACGGCCGTTCCGGAAGCCCCACTGGGAATCCAGCGAAGCACCTCGGTGTTGTTTGCACACTCGAGGTGTCCATCCCATGGGGGTGTGTTGACAGTCCGAGAAAGCGCCCGAGGGACGTCTCAGCACATCAGACACTTGCATCGCGGCCCGGTGATTCTGGGTGTCGGCAATGTACAGCTGCCCTGGCAAAGGCAGACGTCCCACCACTGATCGCTTCAAGCGGCAGTTGTCACGGCGCTGGCACGACACACTACACCTACGCAGAAGACCTTTCATGAGACAGGCTGCGCACTGCAGAGCTACCCAGCGTGATAACCGGCGGCTCGTGATGCACGCGGTCTGCCGCATTGAAGCCCACAAGAGCTGGACTTATGCTGGTAGAAATCGGTGGAAAAGTATAAAGGAGCCGCGGAGACCAGATGCATCATCGAACGCCAATGCCTGTTGCAGAAAGGCATGGTTTCTGGTAGCTTCCTGTAGCAAAGTCAGGCCACAGATTTTCTGATGACAGGCCTCCGGAAAGAAGAGATTCGAAAGGAAAGAGCCCTGGGAACCGCCAGCCTCAGCGCCACAAGTTCTGCATCAAGTATGGATTAAACACGTTCGAGCGTTAAGGCCCCCCTGCTTCTATCCCCGGCTCTACGATGCCATCGCCAAACCACCACGCAAACGGTCACGGTCATGCACTCAGGACGCTGCGACAACCACGCCACCGCCTGAGGTTCCACCCGTCACGGTGGCCAACGTGACCTTGGCACAAAATGGCCGAAGGAATGCACGGCATCCCTCTGGACTCTAGAACACACTTGTCGACACTGGCCCCAGAGGCTCCCGCTCGAGAGCACGCCTTGCATCGAACGACGTGGCTTGTACGCTTTGACGCCGCTGCCGCACTGAGGTTGCAAACGACCCATGCCCGCAAATGACTGCCCACGGCGAGTCGTGGGCCTTGTCGAGGACATAGATGTCGCCACCTGGGCCGCTGGCCTGGCACAGCTCACCAGCATGGCTAGCCCTCGGTCCAAATCTTTCTCTCCTTTCTGTCCGAACTAACTGGCCGGGCTCACAACATCGACCTCACTGTCACTTCGAACACACTTGGCCTAGCCATATCTGCATGCTAAAGCGTGAACTGCTCCACATCTTATGCAGCTGCAGGAGAAGTCCTGTTGACAGCCATGGTTACACATGTACGCTACTTGTAGGTCCTCTTGCATTGTAAGTATCACTTCGCTTCGGCGGTCCGCCGGTCTCTGGCAATGCGGACCTCCCCTTTGTAGAGCTGTACAATATATCCCAGCACTAAGCCCAACACAAAAAGGTACAAGAGCAACTGTCAGCATTGCCAGTCAAGGGAAAAGCAATCAATTGCCCGAAGTGTTGCATGGAGCCGATCAACTTCTGCAAAGCTCTTGCGGGGCCAGGGGGGATGCTGCGTCTGTCTCAGCTCTAACTTTCAAAACCTACTTGGTGGACATTGCAAACGACCACAGTGGCGCATGACCCATAACTCGTCTTTTTTTGCACAAAAACAACAATAACAGGCATGTCGATGTCGTGCACGTGTAAAAGGCCAGGTTGACCGAGCAAACATTGGCAAACCGACGGCTGGTTGACCTTTTCATCTCGCGCTGGTGTTCGCAAGAAGCTCCAGATCCTCCCGTCCAAGGCATCGCTGCACAGCTTCGACGATGTTCCAACAAAATGGATACTGGCCGGAGGTCAGAAGGGCCTCGGCGCAGCTGGCTTTTGTTCTCTGGATCGGTCGACTCTCTCTGTGTCCGCACTTTTGATTGGACCCTTCTGCTGGAGAATGGTGGCATGGAGTCTACCGACCACTGACGGGGAATCCGCAACCGAGACGCCTCGGCAGCCTGTGGACTGGGTAGCACCTGCACACAACTGGGCTTCTGCGGGGCTCTCGTGGCTAGGTGTGGGCACGACGGCTTAAAAGGATAAAAGTGCAGAGCTGCAAACAGCCCGGCAGGTCGATCTAGGCAGCAGCGCGCGTAGTTGTAGACCTCGGATCGGGGAATGGCATGCACTATTGCTGTACGTAGAGTCTCGGTCAAACGGGAGCACAAGTTTATGAAAAGGCTTCGAACTGGTACTGCAACAGTTGATGGTTGTCGGTGGCATGGGGAATCTGCTTGCAGCCGTCACGCGTCGGTCCAGCATTTGGCGTTACCTGCACACACGACATGTTCTCGAGAAATTGCTCGCAGCTGCTATTCTATGCAACCACAAGGCTCCAACTTCTCACCACCCCTCACGTCGGGAGCTCGGATTGAAACTGACAATGCCGCTTTTTGGAGTTGAAGCCGGTCGTTTATTCTGTGCAGCAGGGCGGGGCAAAGAGAATGGATGGACCCATGCCTGAAAAAGGAAAGCTGGCACTGGCCTGCAACTCCATGCTGAGTGCTGCAGCACCACTTTTCGTCCCCGTCCTGATCATGGCAAGAGGAGCCCGCTTTCATGTGAAACTTGTTGCTGCAGGCTGTGTGAACCATGGATCACTATGCCCTTGAGCGTTGAAGAGCAAAGAACGAATTCCTCTCCAAATCATTTCGGCCTTGTCGAAGCAGGGCGGCTCAAGGCGTGGTGAGGCCAAAAAGCGCCAGGTCCTTGCGAGAGAAACCCATCGAGCAATCAAGGATCCTCGGCGCTAGAGCGGTGGAACCTAAGGCTCCCGACCAGACAGTCGCTACATGCCCTTCGGCATCACAGCATGCTTGTGAGGCCGCTGCAGCATTAAGCAGCACCCGTACACTGTAGACATGTCCAAAACACTGCGCCGCAGGTCCAGCTGTCTCGCAACAGGAGAACATTTGCCTTGGGCTCCGAGCGCTTACAGTCATCCTTAAGTGGGCTTTCCAACCAAGCCTTCTCTCTGCTGATTCACAGCATGTCTTAGCTTTGTGAATTGCTTCTCCAATTCTGCATCGTAAAATCGTCCTTCACTCTTGAACTACATTGCTGAATTCCGTTTTTTTTAGCACTCACACTCGACAAAGCAGGCGAGGCTTCAGTACACAATACGGTCACCAGCCAAAGCTCATTGGCTCAAGCACTAAGAGTTCCCAAAAGCACATTGGCCTCGAACCCACTCCCACGCAGAAGCGCAGGAACAGGAGGACAATCCTATATAGCGCATCCCTAATCCACCCAGAAAGCACTCGACGCCCGCACTCACAGCACGCACTCACTCACTCCAAAAGGTGCACTGCCATCCTTCCAAACTCAGCAGTCCTAGCAGCAAGCCATCCACTCGCGATCTCAGGACTTCCCACTCTCCCAGTGTTCTCACCGGTAGCAATCATC